GCGGTAACTGTTACGTTTGAAATTATTCTAAAGGCAAAAAGAAAGAAAGAATAAAGAAAAAAGAAAGAAAGAAAAAACAAAGATAGATAGATAGATAGATAGATAAATAGATAGATAGATAGATAGATAGATAGATAGATAGATAGATAAAAGCGTAGAGAAAGAATTCGATTAAGCTAATAAGAACAGATACTAGACATTGATCTCAGCCAAAAGACTGATAACTGATTGTATTTACTTGCTTTCCCATACTGGCAGAATGTGACACATGGTCAGTTTAATGTGGAGAGACTGAGGGCATGCAACCTGTTTAGTTCGCAAAATAGGCCTTCCCAGTCTGCAACCGTTGATTGCTGTGGTATCGGGTATTACTACCGATCCTCCTATTTAGTTTAACGAGGGACGTACAACCGCGGGAAGCTGTTTCTCTATTTGGCTCGAAAGAAAGAAAAAAAATGAGATTTAAGTGAAGTGTTTAACTCATAAATAATGTAGAGTTCCGTTTTGATTGCGTAGAAAAACAAGATATACGAAATAAAGAAACAAAGAAAGAAGAGAAGATAGAAATGTTTAATAACGGTTTCACTGAAATTGAAAAAGTCATTTTCAAATCTGTTCATTTGTACCCACTTCTTTAAATAATGCCTAGCATTCATATTTATGATTTTTTTTTTTTTTGTTGTTTTTTTTTGCAATGTTTTCTTAAAGAATTTAACCTCCAATTATTAACGACAGGATAGGGGAATTTCTTGAAATATTTTTTTTTGTCTTATAACTCTCCATGTGTTTATTCAATTATTAATATAATAATTAAGATTCAGTAGAAATTAAAATAGGAAAACCGTGAAATTTTCTGGATTTTTTTCTAGTATCAATAAATATCTCTGATATTCACCATTATTCTACCCAAAAATATATCAGATTTTAAACACGTGCGCCCTTCTCAGTATCAACGTTCTTTTTATTTCCACTTTCCTTGAAGCTTCTTCCTTGCTCACATTTTCCGTCCAAGGTGTTCTCAGCATCCATTTGTAGAACCGCTTCTCTGCTGCGTCAATTCCCCTCTAAATCTACAAAGAAAGTTTTCAGCATTCTCTGATGTATTCATGTTCGGCATTCACTAAAATGTCTATGTTTCTGAGATGAGGTATCCTAACTATTTAAACAATTTACATGGTTCGCCCTCATCTTTATTGCCATATTCACGATGTTTAAACCATTGTACGCTCCGGCCTTCTCCGGATTCAGGTTCTTCTTCAAGTTCGAATTTCCAACGTATATCTCCTGAAGAAGGCCAGAGCATAAAACGGCAAAAACGTCGTAAATAATAATAATTTAAATAGACTTATAATAGGATGGATTGTTCCTAACCTCAACTCAAATTCCCACTTTTAGTTCATGCCATTTAATATATGTATAATATTTCTGTTTATCTCTTGAGGTTCTATCATTTTTACGACCAAGAATAATCTTACTATATTTTATATTAAAATAATAAATATCAATAACTATATTACAAATGTTTAATTCCAATATGATGATTACTATTGTAGTTTCATCAATAATCTAAGTCGTAGTAAATATTTTAATAAAACCAGATTTATTAGATGAAACCCCTCTTGGATATCTGTCATATAAATGAAAGCGTATCCTGAAAATTTAAACAAAATCATTCAATAGTTTTTACGAAAACAAAAAAGCCAATAAATATTAAAAACTCCAGAGTTATTAAAAAGTAACACTCATTTTAATATATTTATTAACTATAATTTTTATAAGAAATGGATACGAGAGTAAAGCGTTTAACCTGAGGTTTTATATAAAATTAGATATGCGCAACAGATTTCGCTACGAGATTCTCAAGCCGCCCAGGAATTGCGTCAACTGATTTCACCAGAAACTCTTGCGGTATGGAAGATATACCTTTTTGTATTCGTCCTTTAATTTCTTCCAATGTCTTGGTTTGGTATAATAGACTTACTCCTTTAATGAACCTTAAAGAAAAAAGTCACAGGCTGTTAAATCAGGACTCTTGGCAGGCCACTCATACATAAAATGGCGAGTTACTTTTCAATCGCCCTGTATATATCTCAAATTAAAAACATAAATGTCCATAAATAATTTTACAATATGATAAACAATGTTTTATTTAGATAATAAAATCGAATTACACCAAACAAGATATTGTAAGTATTTCTAAATAGAGAGAAACAAGCTAACGCAAGGGTCTAGGGTAGATAGCCTGATGAAGCCCATCCATCTTCAAGCTGGTCTTGAAGTCAGAGTTTCCGTTCTGCTATACTGGCAAGCGCCCAATGCCTTGTTATTTAACCCATAGCGAGGGTAAGATAGATTTATGTTTCTCCCAAGGGTATTAATGGAAAGTGAATAAAACTGACCCGCAGCCAGAATTTTAATTTGGGTCACCGATTAACCCATTCGCCATAGTAACTGGTACACGTCTCGAAAAGAAAATAAATCGCAACAAATAAAGGCAATGACGGACATATTGCGAGGGGAAGGCGAACAGATAAAATAATGACTAGATGGGTGAGGAGAAGGGTGCCTACCGTTTAACGGTATTTGACTTCTTATTACGACGTTTCCAGTTTAGGTCGCCTAGTGTAACGCAATTGCTAACAAAATCGGCAATTCATTAGAAGAATGAGTTCAATCTAGACTTCTTCATGACAACGATCTTATCCTTCACCAAGATTAACCGAGTTTTTTCTGTTTCACATTTTACAGGTTATTTAATGCGGAATTTGATAAACAATTGGTAGAAAGACATCGGTCATATTTGCCAGAGCGTCAAAAATGTAGACAGAGGTAGAGCCAACAGGTAAGCTTTTTGTGTGTCAATTTAAACCTCTGCACGGAGTTCCAGGCAGATTATTCTTGACCTATCATAAATATTAATAATCTAAATGATTATACAAATAATGAAAGTGGTCAGAAAACCTGCCGCAAACACAAACACACACATACATATATATTTACACAAACATACAAACATACACACACACACACACACACACACACACACACACTCACACACACACACACACACACACACACACATATATATATATATATATATATATATATATATATATATATATATATATATATATATATATATATATTTATATATATATATTTAAAGAAAAACAGACTACTTTAAGGTACCATTATAATAATTTATTTCACCAGAGCCCTTTTAAAGGACGCTGGATCATCAGATAACACTTCAAAAAATGAAATGAAACGAAAAATGAAATTAAAATTGATGGGTAGTGTAAGTTTTTGTAATTTAGCAGAGAGTGTAAAAGGGGTAGTTAAAGAGACATGGTAGAGTATAGGGAGGGATTAATTTCATATGTCTCTCAATCATACTTAGTATTGGTGGAGGGGGAGTGACCAGACCTTGGATTTCATCCTCTTTGGGATTACTCATACGGATTACCAAGTTCTTCATAACTTAATTACATATATATATATATATATATATATATATATATATATATATATATATATATATATTTTCATTAAAAACGACAGACAAGGTGCTACGATTAAGCTTTTGATTTCATTTTTCTTGTGGTCGAACAAGTGTTATCTTTTTGAACTCAGGGTGTGTAGAAACTGTCCAAATTTCGGTTATACTTTTAGCCTTTATCAAGGATGATTTTTTTTTCAGTTTAATTGAGTGGGTGCGTTGTGTGCCACAATATGCTAACTGTGCTCGGAAAATAAAACATCTCTATAACACTAAAAACATACACACAACGCACACGCTAAATGTATCGCTGAAAGCGCTAGGGATTATAAAACATCTCGACAGTTTCTACACATTCTGTGTCCCAAAAATGTAAACATGTGTTCGAGCACAAGAAAAATGAAATTTAAATCTTAACCGTGGTACCTTGTCTCTAGTTTTTAATGAAACATGCATAAATGAAGAAGTGTTGCCTATATATATATATATATATATATATATATATATATATATATATAGCGATTATATTAATCTAGTTTTAAGGAGTGTTAGTTAAAAATGCTGAATAACAGAGATAAGGCGTCTGTAATTATAAATGCATATGTGGACACTGAGGTCAACACCGACAATCTTTTCTCATGCTTGAACTCAAGATGACCTGAAGAATGCTTTCAAACATGGAACAGATTGTCGTCACTCGTTATTAACCACAGTATTCACTTTTCTTTACAGGCTAACACACGCGCATACACATACGCATACACACACACTCACACGCAGACACGCACATATATATATGTATGTCTGTCTGTATCTTTTCGCTGGTCATACTCGACATAGAGTTTGTAGCCAACATATATATATATATATATATATATATATATATATATATGCGTGTGTGTGTGTTTGTGTGTGAGTTTGTGTGTTTGTGGTTTTATAGATATTATAAATATTGAAGAAGAAGAAAAAGAGGAAGGAGAAGAAATAACAAAAGCTAAGTGGCTAATATCTTAAAAGACATCCAGAAATAAATATTCTCTTTTGCCTTAGGCGTAATTCGCTCCTTTATGCCGAAGATCTTTAGCGTCAATTAATATTTGGACGATTAATTTGTAATGGCAAAGAGCCATCAAACCTTCACCAGGACTGACTTTTGGCGCGCCAAAATTGAGAAGTATTTTAATCCGTCCTTAGGTGCCACTGAACTCACCCAAACATTCAGACACTCAGATTTTTAATGACACTTTTCAGTTGAGGAAGTAAATGATGTGTGCGCACACACACACACACACACACACACATATATATATATATATATATATATATATATATATATATATATATATATATACTGACTCTCCCGTCGAATTCGATGTATGAGGTCAAACAGATCAGTTCCTAGGAAACCGACAGCCCGACAACAGCACATGAGATTTGATTATAGTGGTGAAGGTTTCGAGCTGGACCATCCAACACTTTTGAAGGGCCGAATACAGTCTCTGTATTCGGCCCTTCAACCAGTCTGTCCTACTATTTACCCATAGCTGGAGGGTAAGAGGATTCACACCTTTCCCACGTAAGTAAATCTAATGGAATTCGAACTCGGCTCTCCGATTCCTCAATCCAAGCCGGTATACATTACCTCACCGTACCTCCTATATATATATATATATATATATATATATATATATATATATATATATATATATATATATATATATATATATATAACATTTGGCACATAAGGCCATCAATAATTCCAGTTGTAGTTGCAGCTTTCGGCTTAATAGGAAAATGTTCCGATAGGCTCCTTGAAGAAAAAAAAAAATTTAAAAATTCTACTCGCAAATACGGCAGATATGAAAAACGGGCTTTATCTATCTAAAGCGTGTAATCTTAGGTTTCTTTGTTGTTGTTTGTTTTTTTAACAAAAATCAGTGGAAAAATCATGAAGCCATTTCTTCCATTAAGTCTCTGGTTGGGACTCAGGGGGAAATGTGTATATAACAGAAATCAAAGGAAATAATAATAATAATAATAATAATAATAATAATAATAATAATAATAAGAAGAAGAAGAAGAAGAAGAAGAAGAATGTTCTCACGAGTATAACCCATACCTTGCGAATGGATTTATCTATGTAAAATATGTGTATTTTTTTAATTGGTCAGTGGAAAATCTTATGATGCCATTTCTAACCTTAGGTCTCTGGACGGAAACCGGAAAGTAAAGTGTACACACCAGAAATCAAAGGGAATAATAATAATAATAATAATAATAATAATAATAATAATAATAACAACAACAACAACAACAACAACAACAACAGCAGAAATAACTGATTTACCGTTATGTTCACAAATATTCGAATACTTAAGTTTCTGTCTGATTTTGCTTAGGATTTCTGGCCATTCGTTCTTGATGGTCATTTCCCTTTGTAGCACCTACCCATTGAAATAAATTTGGCAGGGCCGGCCGAGGACACAGACGGCAAAATCGATGGAACTGGTCATTGTTTAATTAAAACGGTCTCGAATCACATTGTAATATTTTTATTGTCGAACTTTTCTTAAAGGAAAGTCTATTTCGGAATGACCAGGAAAATGTAAATGAACCGCGCATTAATTTTACCAGCAGTCAAAATAAGTCAACCTGTTTACATTTAAACATCAACTTGTGTTTTCGCCATTGGTTTTATAGTCTAGGTTTAAGAATCTAGGGAAATTAATTAATGAATATTTAAAGACTGTGCTAAAGATAAATATACGTATATATTTGTTACCAATTTTCTGATAGATATTTTCAAGACATTTCCAACTATTAAAGTAAAGTGTTAAAAGATCAGCAGATCAAACAAAATGACAATTTTTTTCATGAAAACACGCTTCGAAAATTACATTTCTAGAACAAAGAAAATTATAAAATTTTCCAAAAATTCTTCATTTAACACTAGCTCTCAGTAGCTAAAACAATAACTATTAATCATCTAATATTTATATTGTGCCACTAAAAATTTTCTCCTTAAATCCTACGATACAACGAAACGGGCTTTTCGTGCGATTGTTACAGGACCTCACATACCTTTCAGAACACAGGTGAAATAGGACTCAATCCCTGTAAAGCATCTTCCAGTTCACTTAATGATGTTATCATTTGAGTATTTCTCAATCTGAAATTTTTTCTGTTACTTAAGATGGTGCCTTTGACAATGATAATGGAAAGATAGTTGGCTCTTGCGACGTGATCATTTCATGTCAATTTCCTCTTCTCGAGTTATGTTTTATATAGTATCTTCCAACGGGCTTGTTTCTTGTCAGATGAGACCTTATCAGATGATATGTTTCTTATCAGATGTCGTTTTGAAGGATTTCGTTTCTTATGTTCGGATCCTTCACTGTGCTTCTACTTTTAATGTCCAAGATCCACAGTTATGCACAACAATCTGATCTTTGATTTCAGAGAAATTTTCTTGTCTTTCTTGGTTTTGCGACAACGACCACTTTTTGTGATGCTATTGCAATTATTTTTATTCTGGAGCCCTCTTCGTGGATAATGGAGTCAAGATATTTATCTACTTTAAGTTCCTGATCACTGACATTTGTCCTGGTTGAAAGCACCTCTTTTGCATGTTGAGTTTGTATTTTTGGCATTAATCTCCCTGACATCGTAAGAAGGTTTCATTCAGATTTTGCAGTAGACTAACGAGGTTTTATATTTTGTTCAGATAGTCTATATAGTGTGAAAACGCAAAAATAAGGGATGATGCTCCCACTAATTCTGATTACGCCCTGGAGTTCCTGAAGAGCAACACTCATAAGATGCCTCTTGATATAACGTAGACAGACAACAGTCTTGACGTACACCGATTATTGTGTGAGGTTCTGGAATAAGCCCGCGTTGCTTGCCTTATCATACAACCGCTGGATAGTATTGATCATCTACTTACCCAGAGGGTATCTGTTCATTATTACCCACAATGTCTTTAGCTTTATTTTGCCATAGGCTTTTTTTTAATCAATGAAGATGTCGTAGAGCGTTTATTGGAGTGGCGAGTATTTTTCACACATAACTCAACGAGTGAACATCTGTTATGTCGCTTCTTCTAAAGATAAATCGGCTTACGGCTACATTACTTTGGTATACAAGTTCTCGTACGATCACCGAAGTTAAGCAACGCCGAGCTTGGTCAGTATTTAGATGGGTGACCGGTTGGAAATAACAGGTGCTGCCAGCTTGGATGTGCGGGTGGTGTAATGAATGACGGCTCGGGATCGGAAAACTGAATGAAAATTCTTCAGATTTCGTTATATTCATTTACGGGAAAAGTTATAAATGCATCTTTTCTTCCCCCAGCTATAGGTTAATCAGTCGAACCTGTAACAGTAAATCGCTATTATCTCCAAAGAAATCTTACAATCTAAAAATGTTTGGTGGATTTAAATAACTGACAAAAGGTTGATAATCCATAAAAAAAACTAATCAATGAATCTAAATCGAAATCCTGCTTATTAGTCTATTTCGTCTAGCCTACATACAGATAAATACAGGTTCTTCAGTAAGTGCAAATTAGACACGAAATTTATTGATAATTTAATCAGCTGAACCATTATCAGAAGCACAAGTATTTAAGTTATGAGCAACACTAAACTCAGCTTAGTAAACGCATTAACGAATGAATGTTGCTGGGCGATGGTTAACAAGCTGGTTATCTGACCATTACTTGTTTAGAGAGTTTTAAAATGGTTCTCTATTTAACGCTGCGTTAATTACCTCAGATTTTCGCAAAGGTGTAAGCCCCTGAGGTCTTTACATACCCCAACACAAAAATGTTTATGATGTTACAATTAGGAAAAATATTGTCGGACTGCTGAAAAAAAATAACATAACGGGCAATCCCCATTACAATATACATTAAATCAAAAATTGAACTGAAGATTATTCATTGAAATGATAACTATAATAAATTTCTTGCATAAACATACTTTGTGAATTGTGGGTGAAACCAATACAATAATAGAGAAAAGTTTTATTAAACGAAAATAGCCACAATACATTGCCGTGAATAGAAAAATATTACATTAGCTAGACTCATAATTACAAGACTGAAATAGTAATAATATATATATATATATATGTGTGTGTGTGTGTGTGTGTGTGTGTGTAAGCAAATATATGGATATAGATCCGACTATATGAAGAAAAATATACGGAAAAACAAACAAAAAGATGCTCTATTAGGCCGAAACGTCCGACGTTGACATTATATCAAGATTAAAACAGCATAATTGCATACTAGGTTTTTTGTTTGTTTTTCCGTATATTTTTCTTCATATATATATATATATATATATATATATATATATATATATATATATCGTGGACTCTCCTATCGTAAACGATAAATGAGGGTCAGCATTGGATGATGCCTTTCGTTTTACATTTAAGCATGCTAGCAGTGGTTATTGTCGATAAAATCAGTTAAGGGAAACACATATTTCATTTGTTTTCTTAAGTGTGATACTAGCCCAGCCATGGTGCGGGCGACAAATCTATACTGACAGATGAAATTTATTAAAGCAGGATTTTGATGGCGTCTCTGCTTCAGAGCTTGACGAAGCTGATCCCGGTGCTGCAGTCTACTGTGATTAAAATCTTTAAACCTAATGAAACATGTCTTATGTCACTCATTTTGGTTTTATACTTGGGCTTCCCAGGTTTTCAGATCAAAGTTGATACGTTCCAAGTTGTCTTTCATTGTATCTGTCTAGCGTAAGAGTGAACGTCCAACTGAACGCTTGGAATTTGGTAGTTGTCCATAAAGCACCATTTTTTGAAGCCTATGATCATCCAATCTCACAACATGACCAGCCCACCAAAGTTGTATCTTTGCGGAGAATCGTTTCATTGTCTGCGATGTTGTTACATTTCTTCAGTATTGCACTATTCATGACCCTGTCATCGGATTTTATATCACATATGGCACGCATCTGAAAAGCGTCAAGTTGATTTATGTGCTTGTGGTACGGGGCACAAGTTTCAGTACCATAGAGAAGGGTTGAGGGAACGACTAATATATAATACATATATATATATATATAAATATATAGGTAGGTAGAGATGTGTAAATTGCCGGGATTTTATTTATTTTTTTTTTTTTTTTTTCGTTGCTTTTTGTTTTTCCGGCTACCCAGTATAGTAGGGTAAATTGGGCACCGTTTGTAAGAAAAGGGTATTATGACGAAATTCATTCCGCCAAAAATTTGGAAACAGCATTCGGAGTGCTTGGGTGTCAATGCGAGGACATTGAAGAGGATTGGGAAAGAGTTAAATGGTATATCCCATCAACATCATGGTTTTTGGAGTGATCACTAATGATGGCAACATTACGCCTCGATTCCTCTTCCAACAGAACCTCAGACTCAACACGGTGTCCTACATCAAGTGCCTTGAAGAGGTAATTCTGCCTTGTTCAGGAGGGTGCCTGCTGGATGTGGATCCAGTCATGGCTGTCAGATATTTTCTGCAACGACATCACTCCTTGCATCTGGCTACCTATCCCCCACAAACTCTAACCCCTTTGATTATTATGTGTGAGCGCAGTTGAGAGACCGACCAATAAAACTCCTTGTAACACCAAAGATGATCTGAAGGCAAGAATTATAGCCGCATTCACCAAATGAAAAAAAAAACGCCCAGAAGAGTTGCAGGAGATTCCGAAGTCTTCTGGAGGCCGTAGTTTCGGCCAATGGAGATTTTATTATTATTTACTCTGTAGTAGTTTAAGATATGTTTGTGTAAATTTAGTAAATATATCTGTTAAAATCAGATGTTAGTGTTATTTTCATGTTTGCGTAATCAATTTATCCATCGTACCCTGTATAACAGATAAAAATATATACCCTGAAAAAACTTATCTTAGGTAGTCAGGTCGGTGACAGGATACACTGATAGGGGGACTGAATGGCTTACCATATATATATATATATATATATATATATATATATAACATTCATGAATATTCCGGAGAGTAGTGCGAAAGAGAAGAAGATACCTACTCGGAATGACGATTAACTTAAACATTTTGAGGTAACAACCCCCACCCACCCGACTAACGCAGGGTTAAATAACATAACCAATACAGAATAGAAACTGTTTGGTATACGATTCCATTGTCCACTTTAAGAATAATCATGTAACATTATTTGATTTTAAGTCTTGAATAGGGGTACCAGATTTAGCCACACGCGATGGGCTTAAGCATACAAATCCTTACATTAGCAATGGGCAATGATTCTTGTCTTGGTTGATTTTAATCTTTGTTCTATTAAGCAATTGAACACTTGTCGAAAGAAAAACCAATAAAGATTCGACCAAAGATATTTGTCCAGGGATTTTCCTCCGTTCCGGATATTGTAAGGGCATAAATAATAAATCGACGATTGGCGTGTGTTGGAATTGATTTTCACTCGGACCATTATTGTTGGCAGTTTCTTATTATCTTCATAGAGCTTATAATTTGTCGTCGAGGACAAGACGTACAAGCAGTGATAACAATACATATATGAGTCGAAGTAAATGCTTAAGGATGAATATTATTCATTATGTGCAAAACTTCACAACGCTCTTTTAACTGGAACTGAATGCATTACACTCTAGAAACTCTTTCATACACATATCTGTTATATTAGCACTATAAATAATATTGGTAGCATTAATAATGATGGGTCCTGTCACTGAATATAACTAACGTCTTTATCCACTGTGCAATGTGCCCTTAAGGACTTTTCGTGTATGATATTCTGGGACTTATAAACCTAATATCTTCAGTAATCATTTTTTACCAGTGCTCAATTTGCTATTTTTGCTATCATTAATTTTTTTTACCATAGCTCACATTGCAACTTTTGTTGTTATTATCGCTTTTCTCTGGCACTCCTTATTACTGGTTCTCATATTGTATTCATTTCTATGCTTGTTCGGCTCAAGGGATTTTTTTTTTTGCCTAGCATATGTGCTGATTCCTTAAGTTTACGAATTTTTTAATGATGTTCTTTGTCTATGATTTAAAAACCTGATCCCACAGAGGGCGGTGATCTCGCTTTTTTCACCATATGTTATCAGCCACGCCTGATTTTTCCACTTCCCCTCTTGTTACAGTGTTCTTGAAGCCTTAGCTTAATGGGGCGGCTTGTCTCCCCTTTATATTTCTTTCCGCAGCTGCATGGGATGGCGTACACACAGTCTTTAGTCATGTTCTTCTCTATGGGACGTCTTACTCGGGAGAGTTATCTGCGAAGTGACGTCCAGCTTTTGAAGTCTGTCCTGATGTTATAATTAACAGGAGATAACTAATAACTGATATCCATTAGACATGGCACGTGAAACTAGAACAGTCTACCCCAGTGAGCGAAATAATGGGTTCCGTTTGACATTCCAACCACCTGAAGAAATCCTGAGTGTACAACGGCCGAAACGTTGGGATAAATATTGTAACAAAGATGAGGATGATAGTCCGAACAATGTAAATAGTGTACATAATACCTCATCTCAGAAATAGGGACAGGTAATATCATCTATATAAATAAATGCAAATGTTAGTGTGTCACTTTATACCTAGAGGCCGTAGCCAATCATACCATTTTGGAAACAGGCCGACTTTGTGAACAAATTAAAAACATTCCATACTGGATCTGGACCAGCAATCCTGAAATTTTGGATTCCCAATTTTCATTACTGCGATTGTTTTCGGCTATATTTTACGTGGTTTTTACGACGATTTTTTTTGTCCGAAAATAATTTTTATTACTTCGAAATAAACTTGGGAATAATAGAAATGAATTGCGAAATGCACTGAAAGTCACCCATGAAATGAAAACAATAGTTTGTACGGAATGTAAGGACCTACGTACATCAAATTGTCTTTAAATTAATTGGTGGAAGAAGAATTATCTTTGAACTTTTGAAAGTTAGGCTTAAATATTAATTCAAGTCTTAAATCCATCGATCATTTTTGTGTTCAATTCTATAGTTTATTGTTGCCTTTGGCAGCAATATACCTTGCAAAAAGAAATCTCCGCCAACAGAGGACCAGATTGCAATCAAAAGAGCCAAGGCTGCAACGAGGAAAAGAAAGTCCCGTGTAAATGAAAACCCATATCAAGCGGCAACCAAAAGAGCTTCCAATGCTGAGAATATGCAAAGACTGGGGTTTTCTGAAACTCCTGAACAAGCTGACGGCTTAATCAAGTGCCCTCCGCAAAAGCTAACTGAAATGCCGCACGATATGACGTCTTTTAACCTCGTTATATATATTATTTACAGTCGAACCAATATCCTCATATTTTTTGTTACTATCACAAGGTAGCGTAACGCATTAAAGCGTTGTTTTATGAATTTGGAGACACGGGAATTGTGAGTTCAATCCCTGGGCCCGGTAGTAAAGACTTCGACTCGGTGTGAACAGGGCTAGCCTTTAGGTCTAAGCAGTACTAAAAAGTGAACAAGCCTAGATTTATTTAGACATGGGGAGTTAAAATAGAATGACCTTCCCTCTGTAAATTAAATAAAAGGTTCAGTTCGAAATTCTGTGAGTGTTAGCCGGGTTGAAGGATTCTTAAAGTAGCCAAGCAAGCAAAAGAGCCGAAACGTTTTGATAGTCAAATCAATGGTGAAGACGGCTGAAGGTTATTTCATTTTCTTCATGACTCGCCAGCAAAAATGTGGAAGATTGCAAAAAGCAGAATATGAAACGAAAATAAAAAACGAAATAAGAAAATTAAATAACTAAAAGAAAATTGTTTGCGGATAAAACTTGAAAGGCATTTTTTGAAGCTTGTTTGTTATTTTTTATTGATATACGAGTTTTCGATATAAACACTTTTCAAAGGGAAACAACGGAAAATACCAAGACTTTGCTTAAGTCATTTCTGCATGAAAGGAAAAGTAAAGTTTATTTAGTAAGATATCAGATGCGACGATAAAGTTCGTTTTTATAAAGAATTTCATGATTCCAGCGTAATTTAAAGACAACATGTCAAAAAGGAAATTCACAATGACGAGAAAACTAAATTTACATAAAGTCCTGGTTATAACGATGAACTACATCTGCCATCAAACCCCTGAACAGGTGTTTCGATGTTTTCAAGGGCGTGGGACCACCTTTTAATTGCTGTTGTGCTTAGATTCACCCTGGCGCAAAGTGGTAGCACCTTGTGGGGCCCCAGCTGTGGAGAAATAGTGAAACACAAACAAAACAAGACTATGATAGTATAAAAATACAAGCAAAAATTTTTATAAAACAAATTACCTACAATACAAATTTATAGTAAAATTACTAACAATATATTTTATCTGTAGTTGACGGAATACCTTAGCGTTCAAAATATTTAGATTTCGGCATTGCATAAAACATATAGGAACAAAATTAAACAACCGACCAAAATTTATATAAAAAATTCAAATTGTGATCGTATAGTGGGCACCTGGCGTTGTAATAACGGTTAAAAAGCCGGTCTAACTCAAAATTTCTCCCATTTAGTGAGTTCAATTCTCACATGGTACCTTTATTTTTGACTTTGCGACAAAATCAAAGCATAGTAGTGTTATATCCCGTACCTATGAACACTAATGGACATGTCCCAATCATCATAAATACGTTGGATACTATTGTAAATTAGGGCAATATGCTGTCTAAGTAGTGCACACTAGCAGTGGTTTACCTACATCACGCCGCTGGCGAGTATTGTATTTTGTTGATGTTATAAAGATTACCATTTCATTTCCAACTTCCGTTTTGGTTATTCCTCATTTAGTAACCATTTCTAGGTTACAACAGCAAGGTAAATAGGTATATGCATGTAAGCATATATCTGCGTATATGTATTTGTAAGTACATGTGCACCTATATTTTTGTAATATACCTGTGTGTGTGTGTGTGTGTGTGCGCGCTTTTATGTCTTTGTCAGTGTATCTCTTTGCGTGAATATGTGTGTACTTTAGCAGTTTTGATTTAATCGATTTTCAGCTTAACTTTCTTTCTTTTCGGTGTTCTTGTTTAGTTTCCTTTTTGCATAAACTTACATGACGAATATAAACATTGCAATATTAACAAAACTAGACACAAATCTAACATGATCGTGGTAGATAGATAGATAGATATCATCAGATTGAGATAGATAGATAGATAGATAGATATCATCAGATTGAGATAGATAGATAGATAGATAGATAGATAGATAGATAGATAGATAGATAGATATCAGCAGATTGAGATAGATAGATAGATAGATAGATATCAGCAGATGAGATAGATAGATAGATAGATAGATAGATAGATAGATAGATAGATAGATAGATAGATAGATATCAGCAAATGAGATAGATAGATAGATATCAGCAAATGAGATAGATAGATAGATAGATAGATAGAAATTCGACCTTGCCTACCGAACGCTCCTTTGTGGCCGAGACGGTAAGGCACGTCAGCGTCAATGACGGTTCCGTATAGGATGTAGGTTCAAATCCTCTCAAAAGACGAATATTTTCTATGAAAATTTCTCGGACATTCAGGCCGGTAAATGTTATTTAATACTGTTTATTATAAACAGAGCATTTACTTAAATACTTGTATCTATAAAAAAGAACGTTAAACATAAAAATGTCTTTAATAAATAAATTGTCGGACTTTGTCCATTTCTTAATATAGATAGATATACAATAGCAGAGAGAGCAATGTTTAACAACAAGGTTCCTGCTGTACCAACAGAGGATGCAATATGTCATGGACAGCTGAACAGGTATAAACTACCCCCGCAGATTAAATAATGTTTTCAGTTCGAAATTCCCTGAATTTTACCTGGGTTGACAGAAGACAGCATGTGCACGCAACGGGTAAAACATTTTTATAACAAGAAGGAAAATGAAGACATTCGGGCAACTGTAAATAAAATATATGAATATAAATTATTTTTCTATCTTCTTATTATAAGCTTCTTTGGGGTTTACTTATCAAAATATAGTTTTGATTAAATGTGTAATTAAAATGGATGTTTGAATTCCTTTAAGAATTGCTTTCGTCTGTTTGTCTCAAATAAAACAAAATTTTATGTGAAAAAAAAACCCAGGCCAACACCAGGTAGCCCATCTAGTATATTACATGCATATAAAAACATTGTTATCGGAATGGATGTTCCTTAAAGCTTCTGTCAAATGGCAGTAACATTTGCCCTAAAATACAATCCCCACCTTAGTTTTGGTAGGAGAACACAAGTGTTAACAAAGCCAAACTCATTACTCGGTTGTAACGAACTGCGAGACGAGCTTGTTAACGTTTGAATTATTTCAAGTTACATGTTTGTCGGTATTAATTTGCTGTTTTATAATTTTTCAAACTGCTATTCAGAATCTGCCTATATTTCTGAGAAGAGTATTGTATACACTATTTACATTATCCTCATCTTTGTCAAAGCTGTAACACGAGAAGTGGAAAAATCATGCATGACTGACCTCATATAGAGAGAAAAGGGATCAGGTTGAGATCATAGACAAAGATCACCTGAAAAAATTCGTAAACTTAAGGAATTAGTACATATGCTAGGCCACAAAAATCCCCTAAACCGACTAAGCATAAAAATGAATACAATATGGGAACCAATAATAACGAGTGCCAGAGAAAAGCGATAATAACCAAAATTGCAATATGAGCACTGGTAAAAAATGATGCTGAAGACATTATGTTTATAATAACCAGAAATTCATACATAGATGTCCTCAAGGGGACATGGCACAGTGGATAAAGGCGTTGGTTAGATCCAGTGACAGGACCCAATACCCGATTAAAGCAGTGGAGTACTTGGAGAGGGGAATTAACAGGAGATAACTAACATCCATTAAACATGGCACGTGGTACTAGAAAAGTCTACCCCAGTGAGCGAAATAAAGGGTTCAGTTCGACATTCCAACCACCTGAAGAAGGCCGGAGCGTACAACGGCCGACAAAGATGAGGACAATAGTTCAAATAATGTAAATAATTCTATTCAGAAGATCGATTTTCCCTGCCTTTTTTATATTGGTAACCAGGTGCTCTATACCCTAATATATTTTCCGAATACTTCAATAAACAAATCAAAATGATGAATTTGTCGGTATATTTTTACCAAAAATCTTGCCAACTCAATTAATCCAAATGACCCATTGTTAAATCCACGAGCGCTAAGAATTTCCGACTCTCCATTTGTCACAAGAAGTTAAAATTTCTAACCGTACAATTATTGGAAACTTTTTCACTTAACCCTTTTCAAGGTTGGAGTTGCTTTCTAATTTAGCATCTAAAGCATTTAGAATTTTCCTAAAGCAAAACATCGATTTACTGCTAATTAAATAAAAATCGCATTCAAATTTAATTCAATGACTTGTTTTGTTTTTTGCTCTGAAGACGATGATGATCAAGAATTTCGTCTCTGGCGGAAATCTCCATCAGTCACGAAATCATCTGAAACTCCCACTTATTCATATACACATCTCGTCACGCAGTATCGAAGATGATTAACAATACAAGATTGTATTAATGAAATGAATAACAGACAGGGCGAAAAAACAATATCATGATTGTCTTGAAGCAGCCATTCTGCAAACAACAAGGTAACAATACAAGGTTTGTTTGTTTCAAAGCAAATAAATAATAATAATAATAATAATAATAATAACGATAATAATAACAATAATAATAATAATGTCGGGGATTAGACTTATAGAAATAATCTTTACAATATTAAGTTTTTTTAGATTAGTTTAATTCAGTAAGAGTATAAATGAGAAAGTAGAAATGAGCTTTTTTGTGGCTTTTTTCTGAATAAAAAAGCATGCTGTCCTTGAAAATTGGCATTTGAGTTCCTGGCTATAATCTGAACTCAAACACTGGCTACGGGAACTAAACCACTTCGACTCCAACAGTTTCCTTTCTCGCACTTTCCTCCTGTGGAAATTCCTTTCGTTTACTTGCTTCCTTGATAACTAAAATCTTCAGGAATTTAAATGCAACGGCAAACGCCCTCTTTTATCTTCTTGAATCCCGTTCAGATGTTTCTCTTTCTCCAATCCTCCCTATACTATGATTCTTCTTTCACGTTCACTTTCACTTTCTGTATCACCCCCACCCCAACTGCGGACTAGTGGCACTACCGTCTTGCCTGAGGTGAAAGGATTAGAATAAAAGAAGGTTGGTATACGCGCCTACCTACATCCTGATGTATCTTGAGTTTAATAACGTCCCCCCCCCAATTATCTTAAAAACTCAGATACCTATTTTTGCCCGTTCATGCACACGTTCATTACAAAAATCGGACCGCCGGATGAATCAACGAAATTTTCTGAAGTGGGACAATTAAGGAAAGAGTTCGTTAGTAATCTGTGTGGCGTTTCTATCGCAAGTGTAATAGTAACAGTAGGTTCGACGGGCAGAATACCGTTATTCATTGTAAATAATCCGAACCAGACAGTTTGAGACGAGGGAGCTTGTTATCTCGGCTTAACCAGGTGAAACAGTTAAATGCAATATCCCCATTTGAAGTAGAACAACATCACGTTGAAGAGGGAGAATTAGAACAAGCGAAAGTTCCAGATTAATTTAGGGCAGCAGTTAATAATCTTCTAAAGAAAAACCTGGATTCATTTGCACTTAAATAGGACAGATACAGTGAAAACGAGTGCCAACAACCGACGGACACGTGCCTAGCAAAAACGCCCATATCGAAGAATCCTCACACAAAGAAAAGTTGTAGACGAGGGTCTAGATGAAACGTTAGATACTAGAAGTCCTTGGGGTTTCCTAACGGTGCTAGTAGAAGTGTGGCATTATAAGATTTATGGGGAGATTTTAGGGCACACCTACTTCCGTTTGATAGTTTAGAATCCTTAGTCCTAGCTAAGTATTTCTCAAAATTAGATTTAAATTCCAGATACTGGCCGCCAGAACGACTTGAGGATGATAAAAGAGAAATGCATTCACGTAACATCATAAATTATTCTGCTTCAACCTTATGCCATTTGCTAACACTCCAGGTGTATTTCATCGTTTTACTGGAACACTACGACATGATCTGTCATATTTGGTCGATATTTTAGTTTCGCCTTCTTAGAACACCATTTAGAACACATTCGGATGATTTTCAACAGCTTAAGCAAACACAAGATGAAGGTAAAACTTCCAAGTCAGAGACAGTACGTAGGTTTTCAAATCAATGAGAATAGAATAGAGCCAGAACTAGAATAATTCGATGCTATGCGATCCGTAACCCCTTCGATAGTTTCAGAAGTTCATTGGTATGTTCTCCCACTACGGAGGATTTATTAGAGGATTATCCAAGTTAACCCTTAATTAAATAGTGCAGTAATAGTTTAGATGCGTAAATTAAATAAAATTTTGTAAAGTTCGTTGAAAACGAAAATATATTTAATACAAACTAAGAAAAATTATATTATTTAAATGAGAATGTATATAGCATATATTATTTTAAAACTTCCTTCACATTAATCAGTTAGAAAATCGTTAGCTAAAGCTAATGATTTCCTAACTGATTAATGAATTAATTAATTATTAATTAATAAATTATAATATAATTATATATTATGAAATGGACAAAGTCTGACAATTATCTTAAGACATTTTTATGTTTATACATTCTTTTTATAGATACAAAAATGCTCTATTTATAATAAACAGTATTAACAACATTTACCGGCCTGAATGTCCGAGAAATTTTCATAGAAAATATTCGTCCTCCGACAGGAATCGAACCTGTTTCCTATACACAAGCGTCAATTTAGCATGACGTGCCTTAAAAGCAGTAGAATCGACCTTGCTAACCGAACGATCCTCCGTGGCTCGATTGGTTAAGGCACGTCAGGTTAAATGGCGTTTCCGTACAGGCTCGATTCTTGTCGGAGGACGAATATTTTCTTTGAAAATTTCTCGGACATTCTGGCCGGTAAATGTTGTTTAATACTGTTTATTATAAAACAGAGCATTTACTTAAATATTTGTATCTATAAAAATAATATATAGACATAAAAAATTCTTAAAATAATTATATATATTATATAAATTATAATAATAACGATTTCCTAACTGATTAATGAATTAATTAATGAGTTTGATAACGACTACACTATGGAAACATGTCACAAAGCTACGCCTATCTTTTGTTTTTTTTTCCATAGCAAACATCAACTGAAAAATAAAACTTTATTTAAAAATGTTTGGCAGCAATACTAAATCGTCTCAGTTTACCGCCGGGTCACGTGATTGTAACCACGTTTATTTTCTTTCTTTTTTTTCCAATTAAAACGATGTCGAATAAAAACACATTCTATGACATTGTATCCGGTCAGATGACGCGAAAAAAGAACATCCTTGCAGAATGGAAAACTTTTACCATTGTTTTAAATCTGGCAGCAGCATTAGAAAAACATGCTGTGGTAGATTACATTGAAAAAATATATTTTCTAAAACTGTTGTAGCAAGCTAGATTTACGAATTCTTTTATTGAATATTCCCCTACTACAAAGTTTAAGAGCCTCGCAATGAAGAGCGTTACAAAATGTGTTTGTTTTATGAGCGTAAAGATTGTAGATTATGAAGATATGTAGGAAAGATAATGTTGACTCTAAACTTGACGAAGTTCAGATTGTAGTGATCGTGGAAGCTTCTACTTGGCAGTTGTTTCACAAAGTAGCAGTTCTCGGGAATAAGCAGTCTGCGTTAAACTTCCTACTTCGTAATAAAGTAAAAAAGGAATAAAAATGATTCAAACTCTACGTGGCTTGGCGAGTCTTAGTTATAAAAATCCATGTGAAAATACAAAGCATTCTTCCAAATATCCTGCCACATTACCATTTACGTTTCTGCGCTTAGTGTGTCGGTAGTAGGGATCAACTTATTTCCCTAACCCTGCCGATAGTTTTATGCTTTGGGATTTGCCACAACATCACCACATGTTTAATGTCTTCACTGTAGACTTTGACTATCCTATTGGTTTGTTTCACATACTGGATACCCCAAAATCTGACCAAAATGATTTTGAGCATATTGTTGCATAAAATATGAACTGCTATCCATATTTCTTTTAATCTGATCCAATGAAAACTACTCTGACATAAGATGATGATTTCTACTAAATCTTTAAACTTCCTTAACCAAATATGCTGATTATATTCTTCACGTCAACTTCTAATGTACTATACATTATATGACCCAAAAAGGCTTACTTTCAATTCGTCATTCCATATAATTTTAGACCAATGTCCCAAATATCATTCTTTATAGTCTTTGGGGATTTGGATATGAACTAAAATCATATTATTTTGTTGGACACACACAACTTAAACACTAGGATAGGTTGATCACTAACAAAAGAAAGTACTTGTCTCCGTTGAAGATTCCAACTATTTAATGAGACCATGTCACATGGAATGGAGATGAACAACACCTTAGAGATGCCATAAAAAATGCAATCTAGCACGCTCTGGAATACTTGACATATTTATATGTATAAAGAATTACCTTTTAACCGCACTTGGCTTACAGATGCCATAATAGCTTGGTAGTTCGACGACTGCGCATATAATCGGATCAGCCAAGTAAAAATGCCTACATCAGCGTATTCAAAACAACACTTTGCTTTTCGCTTAGAATATTTTATAAATCTTCATATTTATATTTGGTTTTCTTTTCTCTTACGTTGCATCTCTAAACAAAAGATCGTATTTCATATTATATTTTGATCCTCAGAAAATGCAAAACTTAATTCTTAAAACAAAAGCGAAAATCAGCCAAGAATAGCGTCTTCGCAGAACGACTAAACATGAGGATCATCCGCGATAATCCTTGAAAAAAATGACCGTATCCTCTTCGAAATTTTAGCATGCATCTTATTATAAAGAAAGTCAAAAGAGATAAATTGAACAGAAAACTACACGTAATGTTCACATGAAAGACATCAAGTTTATTAATAACGTGGTTATAATTAAATATTGTAATAGGATATATCTGTGGTTCAAATCGAACTCACAATAGAGACAGCCGTTGTATTATTGCGATCTGTACTAATGCTGTACTTAAATTAACACTTGTAGATTCGTGACAGATTAAGTGAACAGCAAAGTTCGAACTCACTGGTTATAACATTGGCCTGTTTATTAGCATGGTCACTAAATTGCTCAGTTAATTTCCATTAAGAGGTCAACAACGCTTCACAGAAATCCTAGCAAAAAATAAAGTTCCTAAATTTTAAAGAAATTCCAAGTGCTCTATTGACTATCAGCACAGTCGTCAACTTGGTATTCTACAATTTATGCAGATATTTTACAAAATCTTAAGAATTTTTCAATCTTATTTTATCTGTCTATTGCAATGGCGGCTTTTTAAATGTGTCAAAATATTGATTATTTCATTATTAATAACAATTGGGTCCCTTCATTTTAGTTAAATGGAGAGATTAAAACAGTTCAATGAATTGTTTCTAGTAATATCAATTATTGGGTTTCACTTCCTCTAAAATGATCCAGTTTTAATTTGGTGAGATTTTAATGAAATGCAGGAGCAAAAAGACAATGATGCGGGATTTTTGGCAAATCCATTAAAATGCACTAAATGGAAGTGTAAATCTCTTTCCACACATAATGATAATCATTTATAACATAAACATATTAGTAGACATCCTAGTGTTAACGTTTGTACTCGCTTGTCCTGAATGTATTTGTTACAAAAGGTGAAAAAAGAACATCATACCAATACTGAAACAGGAACCTAATTGAAATTATTTCTAATTGATCTAGAAAATAATATATTTATTTAACAAAAAATATATTCAATATTTGTTTATAAATAGAAATATATATTATTTCATGGGTTTTTTTATATTATACCCAAATTTTTCTTTAAATCTTTTTTTCCAAATTGTAAGCATGTATGTTCAAATATTCTTAGGCACGAAACACCTGTTCATTAAGGACGAGAAATAAATAAAAAAAAGAACTGTGTGCGAATAATGAAATGGAGGCATGCGGAGAAATTAGAATCGTCGGACCGATATCAATTTACAATCCAATTTGGTGCGTTCACATTTACATTAATGACTTTGAGAGTTACGAGAATCTGCTTCCCTCAAGCTATGAGTTAAATAACAGTGTAAACTCGCCTCTCTAGCTTTAGGTGGTAATCAATCTAAAATAAGAGAACTGAAATTCAAACAGAGGAAAGGCAAAGGGAAAATCAGTCTTTCCTAAAAATACTTGACATTTCATTGATAATAAAGAAAAGGAAGTTGTAGTGAACCATGTTCGCCAGTTCACTAAAATAAGATCGTTGTCTATGCCATTCCGCGCCGATGATTTATGTAGTACACAGAAAAGCGATCAATCTTCTATTAAATATGTCCTTTCATCCCTTAGGTGATCATGGGTCTCTACAAATCCTATCCCTTGTAGCTATTAGCAATGTCTACTCATGTGAAGCCTCCTATACTTCATTCAACCACCCATTCACAAAAGCCCGTCAGGTAGATGACCTACTGCCTGCTCCTGTCACTTTTGTCTTTGATAGCACATGTGAGTGTCAAATTCTCCAAGAACTCTTTTCTCATTATGTGTTCAAGGAATTTATGCCGTTTGTTACTGATTCTGGGCTTAAATGTGTTTCGATTTTACTTAAGACTTCTTCATCGTTTACATGATCCGCTCATGGTGTTCTTCTATAGAATATGTCTGTTGAGCCAGTTTTCTCTTCAACTGTGAGGAGATTGTCAAACATTCACTTAAGTATGAAACTTAAGTATGAAACAGATCAGTGTTGATTTCATGTTCACTCTCATATCTACACACGTTCTATCCCTGATATTGAGCATCGTAACATAACTTAAAACTATATATATACATATGCGTCTGTGTACGTGTGTGAGTGTGTATATTTATGCCTGTAGAAGAGTAAGCGAATAATCGAATAAATAAACAAACTTCAAATACAGTTCTACAAATTTAAATAATTTTTATTATTGTGTATTTGTTTCCTTTCAAATCGTAAGAAAGGAATTACAAACACCCTTGCGAAACAGACACATACAAATATTTTGTTTTCTTTTTTTTTCTTTTTTTTTGCAACACAATAGAATCAATTGCTTTAGTATGATAGAAGAAATGGAATATGCCTTCATAATTGGCGTGTTACGTAATTACCTTGCTTTATGAATGCCTGTAATTTTCTAGTAGTCAGTATGCCAGCATTGTTTACATAACTCCGTTCGTATGTTTTAAGTGTGCTTAACTTACTTTTAGATAGCAAAGCTGTTACAAGAGGATACTCGATAAATATGTCAAATATTGAGTAATTAATTATACAAAAGGTTTGAGAATTCAGCTTGTCCACATTAACGAACAATCGCCCCTGGTCATAGATTTACGAAAATATTGAAAAACTGAAAACCAACTTAAAACAACGATTAGTTATAATAAATAGATATGCTTGAAGCTGAAAATCAGCTTGATAAACTCAGGAGTTTATTGGTTAATATATATTTTCCCCTGTTGTTAAATATCTATTTTAGGACGGAAATATTGTTGATGATTTTTTGTAGTGATCCCTCAAATTATGTAGCAGGCCACAAACATGGTTGTTTGATTTTTCAAAGCTTTCTGCGCGTTTGAAATAACGACACTGATTGGTTAATAAATGCGAATGTGGAAATTCAAATCTGGGGTCTTTGTTTTGTAGAAAAATGAGCTAATTGAGGTTATTGGCGATATTGCTTAAATCTATTGAGTTTTTCTGTAATTTTTAAAGGGGTTTCATATATATGTGTGTGTGTGCGCGCGTGTGTGGGGGGTGAATGTGTAAAACATCATTACGGTGCATCTAACGTTGGGTATTAGCGAGCTTTTACAAGAGATCAATATTAACGTTATATTATATATATATATTTATATTTGTATTTTTGTACCAGACTCATCACTCTATGCCGTAGAATAAAATAGGACACATTTTAAAAGCGTTCAAATCTTATAATATCATTAGATTTGGTTAAAACAGGTTAAACCAGCGAGCAGGAAATAGGCTGAAACTCAAAAATACATTTCCAATATATGCACCAAAATAAAGATAAATTCTACCCCCGAGATGGACGTATACCAATAATAATCAGCATTTCAGCGACCGTAGATAAAGAGTACTTACTTCCCTTATAGCGATCCATCCACGTCAAAATGTCTTATACAACTCTTGCATGTTAAAACGTTACGTATTTGATGAATGAGCCGAGAGCATTTGCAATGAGAGCACCGGACAGGACGAGTACTGATGGATGTGACAAGGGGCAGTAGAGGCTAGAGGGCACGGTTTTGATTGACGACTGTCTTGATGAGAGCTTGATCGATCGCATCAGGCAAAAAAAAAAAAAAACTCTAAATGTGCAAAGATATTGATAAGCTCTAAGCTTGAATAAAGAAAGAAACATTCTCCAAGTTATTTAAAGCTTGGCATTTAGGATATCCGTGCGTAGCTGTCAGTATTTTGCGAATACACGAAAGAACACAGAAGTATTGTCGTTTTATTATATACATTTGATATTTAGAAAATGGTCGGTTTTATTTCTGGACATATTTTCAGTGTTGTTCTTGTGACTGTTTCCTTCTTAGCATTTGTTTAATTCGATTAGAAGACTTAAAAAAAAACATATTTCATTCTATCGGACAGATATTGTTATATATAGTCTTTTTGATAGATAGATAGATAGATAGATAGATAGATAGATAGATAGATAGATAGATAGATAGATATTGAGACGGCATAGATAGATAGATAGATAGATAGATAGATAGATAGATAGATAGATAGATAGATAGATAGATAGATAGATAGATAGATAGATATTGAGATAGATAGATAGATAGATATTGAGATATAGATAGATAGATAGATAGATAGATAGATAGATGATATAGATAGAGATATTGAGACAGCATAGATAGATAGATAGATAGATAGATAGATAGATAGATAGATAGATAGATAGATAGATAGATATTGACGGCATAGATAGATAGATAGATGACGGCATAGATAGATAGATAGATAGATAGATAGATATTGAGACATGCATAGATAGATAGATAGATGGATGATAGATGGATAGATAGATGGATGAGACGGCATAGATAGATAGATAGATGGATAGATAGATAGATGGATGTTGATACGGCATAGATAGATAGATGGATAGATAGATAGATGGATGGATGATGGATATTGAGACGGCATAGATAGATAGATAGATAGATAGATAGATAGATGGATGGATAGATATTGAGATGGCATTAGATAGATATGGATAGATATGATGGATATTGATGGCTTAGATAGATAGATAGATAGATAGATAGATATAGATAGATAGATAGAAAGGAAGACTAAAAATCTACTGCAGAGAAAGACAGAATAACAAAAAGTGCTGTGAAGAATATGATTTTCGTCTTAATAAAATATTTCTCTGGTTCTCTTCCCCTGCCTCTCTCTCTCTCTCTCTCTCTCTCTCTCTCTCTCTCTCTCGCATTTACACAGACAGATATACATACTCACATACGCTTACACATATAAATAGACAGGTGTCTTTGCCTGAAGGAGATCGTTCGTACACTTCTTTGCTAACCTGTGGCTATTACTTTCGTTTACACTGTGAGTTTTCGCCATAGTCAGCTTTGTAAATAATGAATAGATGATGATCAATCAGAACAGAGTAAAACCAAATGAAGAAAAAGCGAATAAAAGATAGGGTTAGGGATTGGGTTAAAGGGGAAAGGAATGAGATGAGTGGATAACCTCATCGTCCTGAAGGCTACAGGGGGCCTTCGCTTTTGAATAGTGACCTAAAGTTTTGGAATTTCATACTTATGAACTGCCACTTCTCTGTGGAATCGGTGAATGCGAACAAATCGAGAAAAGGTGTTGGGATGATAAACGAGGAAGGGAAAGGCGGCAAAGATGGCGGATTGAAACGGTGTGAGGACGTTGAGTCACGAACCATACTGAAATAATAATTATGGTCACTTGCCCCCGACGAGATGCAATGCAAAATTCGGGTATTTGTGCGTGGAATCCCAACTAAATGCTCCTCGCTTGACTGGAGAACGTTAATCAATACATCGGCGTGACTCGACAGAACAAAACAATCCGATGGTAAAAGCTTATCATTTGCACTCGAAAAGTCGTTCAGAGAATTGTCATTTCTTTGGAGATTCTAAAACGCTAAGCTCGATGCTGTTTCGTGAGAAAATCGTTTCGTCTTATTTTGCCGTAACAAATTTCGTCCCTTTTCTTGTCTTTCATTTCTATACAGTTGATTATCTGAATGCTCATCTATTTGTTTGTCTCCTACACATAAACATTGATTTATTTTGTTTTCAGTTACATCTTGATCAAGTTTTGGATTGTTTTCTTGGTAAGATTTTTCTATTCTTTCTTGCTTCCTTTAATATTTAACTTTTACAAAACGAATCTGTCTTTCAATCTCATATCTTCTCTTTTACTTGCTTTATTGTTAAGTTCAACTTCAGATCTTTATGTTCTTCTTATGCTTTCTTCTAATCTTTGTTATATTTCCATATAACCATTTTACGATCAATATATATATATATATATATATATATATATATATATATATATATATCCTAGGTTGATTGTATATCTCGAGTTTCATGCCATATTTCCGAGTTTTGCAATCACCGTATATAGATAGATAGATAGATAGATAGATAGATAGATAGATTAAAATAGCTCAGTAACATTGAGCACAGTTTTTTTCTTAAACTATACGATACAGACACACACACACATATATATATATATATATATATATATATATATATATATATATATATATATATATATATATAGTCCCTTATATCATATATATATATATATATATATATATATATATATATATATATATATATATATATTTCTGAGATGAGGTATTATGTGCACTATTTACATTATTCGGACACATGGCACAGTGGAAAAAGGCGTTGGTTAGATCCTATGTAACAAGACCCAAAGAGTGTGAGTTGAATCACCAGTTAAGGCAGTGGAGAACTTGGAGAGGGGAATTAACAGGAAATAACTGATAACTGACATCCATTAAACATGGAACGTGGAACTAGAACAGTCTAAGTTGTCTATCCTAAAGTTGGCGTTTGAATCAGATTCTTTAATTTGTCACTGGCAGTCGACTGGGGCTTCAGAATACGCTGATTGCACCACCTGCAGAGGGGTAATACATCCCCACCAATGAGGTGTCCTGGGAATGACGATAAACTATATCCGTCAGCAAATCCTCTGATCAGGAGGTTTGAGGAGGAAGGAAACACATGTTAATTGATGGTGTTCCCAGGTTCACCTCTTAGGGTCCCAGCTATGGGGAAATACTTAACCTTGAAACTGGTGTGAAAACACTACGAAAGTTTAAAAATAGGTTTTAATACTAGCAATATATTTTTGGAAAAAATTATTACTAGCAATATATTATTGAAAACAAAAGTATTATAAGCAATACATTTTTTAAAAAAGTAATATTACGAACAGTATATGTTTGAAAAAAAAATTACCAGCAATAAAAAACTTGTCGGCATTAAATAACCGACTGAGGTTGATATGTTGTAAAACAAACGAAACGAAACGAAACTAAATCAAGCAGATAATGGGTTAATGGCTATTTTTATTGCTCTAAAGATTCTAATTTGTCTCATCTATTGATGATTCTATATAATGTCTTTGTCTTATTGACGTCAACTTTTCTTAACATAACATTTGGTGGTCTTAGAGAAGCGAGATGGTTGGCCCACACTATACGGTCTGTTTCTGTAGGTGAATTCATATAATCAATAGCATGTTGCTATTTGGAAGTACATGTTGTCCAGTTTGGAATGTTAAGTAGAAGATTCAATGATTGTAGAAATTTTAGGTACCTTGGCCTTTTAAGCGATATATTCTTCGTTCTTCCTCTAGTGTTAGCATTGATTGACCAGATATTACGCTGATATGACGTAACACAACAATTATCCTGAAATTGTATTTTATTTATTTACCCCAATATAATATTTAGTTAGCTATACAAATGTTGTATCCATTATGTCCGGTGTCTCTCCTTGTGAATAATCAGAATCCCTAATGCATATCAGATACGACAAGGGATGGCAAATATCTCAGCACTACCTAAGGATTACATTTCCAGAGAAGTCGATGGGTTTTATGTATTAGACTATGTTCTATACGATACGCAGAAATTTATTTTTAGGGCCTTAAATCTAATATCCGCCGTGTCGTAATTAGTAACAATCATATGGTATTGATATATATGGCCAGGTTTCTAACTCGATGATTTACACAGATCTTGGGTATCGACACAAAACAACGCAAAGTAGAAAATATCTATTAATAACGAAACAACAACTAAAAAGGTAAGATGAAATTATTTCTATAACATATTTTTATTGAATATTCTTATTTTTCTATAAAGCGCAATGCATAATTCCCTCTCAGTCTGTTCATCTTCTATAATTTTATTCATTTTTTTCTTTTCCTTTTTTCATTTCCTTTCTATATTGGACTTAATTCCTTGTTGTTTTTTCTTTTCTTAATATTGCAGCTTTTCTTCGCCAACCTTCTCTTGGTGAACAATGAAGGAATTTGTCAACGATTTATTTACGATCCGAAAAGAAGTCAAAGAAAAGAATGTTTTTAAACGACGGCTCAGACACCATCAAGCAATATAATCCATGAACATCGTCTTGTGCCACCATGACACCATCCAATGAACATCGTCTGGTGAAACCCTGATACCATCCGATGAATATCATCTGGTGCCACCCTGACACGATCCGATGACTATCATCTGGTGCCACCCTGACACGATCCGATGAATATCATCTGGTGCCACCCTGATACCATCCTATGAATATCATCTGGTGCCACCCTGGCACGATCCGATGAATATCGCTCGGTGCCTCTCTGACACTATCCGATGAACATCGTCTGGTGCCACCCTGATACTGCCTGATGAACATCGTCTGGTGACACGATGACACTATCCGATGAATATCGCTCGCTGCCACCCTGGCACTATCCGATGAACTTCACCCGGTGCCACCCTGACACCATCCATGAACATCTACCGTTGCCTCTTTGACTAAATCCTGGTGCATCTAAGACACTGTCCATGAACATCATCTGCAGCGTATAACTATGTCGATTTTTGAATTCGACTGAATTCATTTTTATCATGATGAATGTGAAACTCTATCAGAATAATATTCTATTCGTGTTTAAATAACTCGACTCTTGTTCATAAAATTCGAGGAAGAAATAGATTAGTAGCGGTGGCGGCAAAATGTACGATATGGCGTGACCATAAATCGATGTCTGCGATTCTCTGCGTAGACAATATATCCACCTGACTTGAAT